GATACCTCACGCATTCCGGAGAGCTCAAATAGTTGTATCATCGCTCCGTAAGAATGTGACGGAAGATTACAATTATTATGTAGAGTGTGAAACCTCACATGAATGTGATTCAGATACGACAAGAATTTGCAACCATCTAATGTTGTTGGCAGAGAGCATTTCTATGGTGAAAAACAAATTAATTGCTAAAAATTGCTCAAAGTCATATATGTTTTAGGCTCGTTTTCCCAAAACAGGATTTGAAGAGTTTTTCCTTTTTTCAGAATCCCGAGTTTTTAATTGAAACGTGGTTGAAATGGAACCTCGCAAAGAGGAAAGGCACTTGATGAGGCCAGTGGTGAATTTGTTGATACGGCATCGACAATTTTACAATGATCAGCGTTTGTACATACCCATTCGTGTGGGTGATAAAAATGCAAATCTTGCATCATGTATTCGCCTAATCTTGGTAAAAATGCAAATTGCCAGAGTAAATTTAGCAACCTTGAAATGTGGTTACATCCTTTCGTAAGAAAAACACCACAATTTGCTGTATTCGGACTCATCGTAGCTCAGGGTACATTTAATCAAATGAGGAACGAACGTAACTCCACGTCAAGGTTGCAAAATTGAGTCATATAATTCATTTTTTACAAGATTATACCTGTGCAATTTACGTTCAATAACTGTCGAATTTTTGTTTGCGACCAGGAGAAAAATCAGGAGGAATTTCAATTCGATATTCCCGAGATTTTCCTGGTGAAAATTCAGTTTGCGAGGGAAAATTCAGCTACATCAAAATGTAGGAATGTTCTTTTATGAGCGGAACCACCACAATTTTCTGTATTCAAACTCATCATACCTCGGGGTGCATTTAATCAAATGAGGAACGAACATAACTCCACTTCAAGGTTGCAAAATTGAGTCAAACAATTCATCTTGTACAATTTCCGTCCAGTAATTTCCTAATTTTAGTATGCGACCATGAGGGAAGTCAGGAGGAATTTCAATTTTATATTCCCGAGACTTTCCGGATGAAAATTTAATTTGCGAGGGAAAATTTAGCTACATCAAAATGTAGGAATGTTCTTTTACGAGGGAAACACCACAATTCGCTGTATTCGGACCCGCCGTGTCTCGGGTGCATTTAGTCAAATGAGAATGAGACGAAGTGTCATTACCCAACTGCACAGCGACCTATTGATCCGGTTTGTTTACTCTAGTTTCGCCACTGGATCGGAACCGTTTGTCACACTGGGAACGAAGCGGAATTGCCAACGGTCGTGAAATTCAGGCCGCCCCGGTCCGGCCGGCGCCGCTAACGGGGGGAACCTCGCGCAGTTCGGCAGATCTGCAATCGATCGTTTATGCGAAACCCCAATAACGGCCCATGTTAAAATCGCAATTAGCCTCACTGCATTTTGTATCTCATCAGTTAAGTGCCCCCGGCCGAAGGTTGCGAAAATCGCCGCTTTACTCTGATTCATTTCAGCCGGGCCGCGGCACGAGCGCGGATTTTGAAACGATTTTTCCTCCACACGAGAGGTTCTTGCGAAAACAATCCGCATGAATCATTTCAAAGAATGGGGGTGGAAAGCTCACCTGTAATTGGACTACATTTTGCAATTTGGAAAAACAATCTCCGGCTCAGTTTAGAAACAACGCATGCACCGGTAGTTTCCCTACGTACTTACGTGTTTTTACGGATGAGTCAAAAATTGTAATTCAAAAATGAAGTCTAATTATTTGCACTGGAAAAAAAAACACTTTGGATATAGAGTCCAGACTCTTAAAAACATCGACAAAGAAAAAATACTCTTGATTCAATCAGATTTAAGCTTAAATCAAGAACCAAGCCTCTTAATTTGAGCGGATTTCCTTTTGATTTAAGCTTAAATCTGATTGAACCAAGAATCCTTTTTCTTGTCAATGTTTTTAAGAGTCTGGACTCTAGATCTAATGTGGTTTTTTTTACCAGTGTGGGGTTTGATAGACTGGAGCCTATTTGACGACGGTGTCTTCAAAACTGTACGACCTTTTCTTTGCTTTAAAACTCTTTAAACATATAAATATGAACGATAATAAAATTTACAGGATCATTTCCCTTTCAAATAATGATTTTTTACAGAAAAAACCTATTTTCTATTCTATGTACTTTTTTTTGGATAAGGTCAAATATGCACGATCAACTGGATGCGGTCAATTTATTTTATTTTTTTTCTGAATTAAATATACAGAGAACTACAAAATACATGTATTAACACTAACAATGTATTATTATTCATTGATGTACTGACTGTGAGAGAAAAACTTAAGACATAACTTCACCGGTTACGATGGGAAAAAGAACGGCACGTGTGAGCCTAGCCTTTGGTTGACTTATGGCGTGGAGTTATCCAGTTTTTCCGTTGTTTACTGGGATAATTTCAAGTCAAACTGTAAGGCAATCGACGTAGTATTTGGGGTTGTCCGGAGTTCGACTCCCGGTAGTGGCGTCAAATTTTCACAGAACTTACGAGTAGGTCCGCAGCAACAAATTCCACTCGGCCTCAATTCCTGAAAATTTTAGGGCCCAGATTATGGATGTACCTCGCGATGATGTCCAAGGGCACTAAATAGTATCTGTGGATGGCTATGGAATCCAAATTACATCAGCCAATTAAACAACTAAAAAACAAAAAAATGTGGTTAATTTGTGTTTCACTTCCTATATTAACGAAACATAAGAACGTACCTTTTTTTCTTAGCGATTCCACAGTAACATGGGACCCTGGCAGTAAAAAAAACCAAATTTGAGTCATGGATCCACTGCTTAGAGGACGGCGATGTTTTCGGTACCATATACCGATCGGTCGTTATGAAATGAAAGTCCGTATTTCTACCTTAAGGTTTGAAAATCTCCAATTATATTTTTTAGGGGAAGATCAAGCAAAATATTTACTTGAAATTTTCTGTGAATATTTTAAGGTGAGCGATGAACATGCATGCTATTTTGGGAACAAACGTTGATTAGTTTCATTTGAAAGAAAATTAAATAAAAAGACGGCAAAGACTTGCAACGTCGCAATCTAAAGTTTACAAATTTTGCGACTTCAGTATATGGTATGAACACGATATCTACCAGTGGCAAGAGTAAAAAGTACGTGAGATTACTAGAAAAAGTGTTTCACGTGCGTTTCAAAATCACTGGGTTCTTCAAAGAAAAACTAACGAGCACCATTGTTCAAAATTTGCAAAATATAACATGGAAAAGTCGGTATGGATTCCGAGAGTAGTGGTTTCCGGTTTTCTATGTAAAAGTAAAATGCATCAAGGCATGACGTCACAAATTGATTAGAGTTTTGATTACTGCTGAGAGGATCGTGGAGTTTTGCACATTAACGCTTTCCTACAGCTTTAATTATAAGTTTCATATTATTCATTCACCTCTTTGCAACAGGCACATTGCGCTGAGTTCCTTAATAAATGTCATAGACAACAACAAAAACTCGTCAATGACCACAGCATCTAAGTCACTGCAACTAACCAATTAGTCCAAAGTTGCTCCATAAAAAAAAACTCAAACTAGGGACTGATTCACCGCGGAGGATAATGCGAATAAAATAGTGACCGCTATCAAAATGCAAATTAGCGCCACCGTGCCCTAACACCGAAAGATGGGTTCAGTTAATCCCTCATTTTTGAATGATACTTTCAGCAGAACAACACAGTCCTGGGAAACACTCAGAAATGTACCATTCTGCAGATCCATAACTGTCTCATAGAAGACGCAAAAGCACCTTCGATATTTAGTTATGCAACACGCACTTCCTCTGAACCCGAATCGTTGCATCAAGACGGTTTGATCTATACAATAATGAGTTTGGAAATCGTATGCTGAGAAAAGAAAAGTTTTTCCACGTCACTTAAATATATCATAAATAGACTAAATTTTGCTACTAGGAATTACAATTTCTGGCCCAGTTTAGAAACAACGTGTGTACCATTAATTATTATGAGTGCATAAGTGTTTTTACGGATGAGCCAGAAATTGTAGTTCTTATTGCAAAATGAAGTAAAAATAATCAACACTAAATGAAGCTGCCTGGATCGATGAATATAAATTCTTCTGATTCAATTTCAATAAGTATAACCCATTGTTGCCGACAAGACTTTCTTTTCTAGAATTACCATGCTTTAGGGTTCAAAAATTGTGAAAGAGTGCAATGGAATGAGGCATACCCTTTAATTCGGGCGGGGTAGTGACCAGGAGGCACGTATCTCTAGGGTTAGAGACAAGATAGGGTTAGAGATACAAGAGACCCTCCACCGACCTCTTGGCGATAGGTGGAAGCTTTAACTTCCGAGGATTCAACACCTCCTTATGGACAATTATAAGGGTGCAACAGTCATCACTCTTTTTTCGGCTGTAGACCTACCTACTTGGTGAATGATGAGCTTCGGGTGACGTCATGAGCCAAACAAGTTTCCCAAACAAGTTTCCCAAACTTCGGTTTGCTAAACTGCCAACGCGTTGTTAACCATCAACCAAGTAGGTAGGTCAACATTTGAATGATGAAGTCCCTAAAGTAAAAGCTTCCACCATTGCCAAGATAATAATGGAGGGTCTCTTGTTTCAACGTCTTCTTGTTTCTGGAGTATTATAGCGTTAGCTCTGTGTATTTCGATCTTGAGAGATTTTTCCCCTGCTTACATCACTTGAGGTCCGCTCTTGGAGCTGAGATCCAAGACGTCAGCGCACCGAAGCATCACGAGCCACGGATTCCGTCTGGCTCCTGTGGTAGCCCTCTACGCCGCAGCCGAACCAGGAGCCCCCACCAGACTCTCACCCCCTCACCCCCCGGGCGCCGACCCAAGACATCGGGCCCAGAAACAAACAGAAGCAACAGAGCGTGTTATCGGTCTTTATCCAGCAATTAGAACCGCACTCCAGCAGTGGGAGCGGGCGTCGGCAGGTGTTGCAATTCTATAAATACCACCGGTCGTTGGGCGGGTTGCATCATAGATAGACCGATGTGACGATGCGGTGGTTCGCGCGGAGCAAGCTGTTGGCGTACCTCTGCGTCTTTTTCGCGTACGTGTTCACCCTCGCGGCCGGGCGCGAGGCGCGGGCCCTCGGGGCGGCCCGCGCAGGGATCGGGGCCGACCTGGAGACGGCCGCCTCGAGCAAGAAGTGGAAGAAGGGCGGCGGGGAGTCCCACCACTCCGGTCACAAGCACTCGCACGGGAAGAAGGGCAAGAAGGGATACAAGTCCCACCACGAGCACGGCGAGGGGAAGAAGGGCCACCACGACAAGGGCGAGAAGAAGAAGCACTACTCGGAGCACGGCGGGCACAAGAAGAAGCACCACGACGAGGGCGGCTACTACCACGACCACCACAAGGGCGAGAAGGGCAAGAAGGGCCACAAGTACGCCGACAAGGGCGCCTACAAGAAGGGCCACAGCACCAAGGGCAAGCACGAGATCCACAAGCTCGACGAGTACAAGAAGCACAAGAAGTTTTACGACGAGCACCACGACGCCGGGCACCACAAGAAGCACGGCGGCTACGAGCACCACCACAAGAAGAAGAAGGGCGGCGAGTACAAGAAGGGCCACAAGCACTCCGGCTACAAGGAGGACCACAAGGGCAAGAAAGGGAAGCACAAGAAGGGCAAGCACTACTACGACAAGAAGGGCCACAAGGACGCTGCCGGCCACGACAAGAAGCATCATCATCATTCCGAGTACGGGAAGAAGGGTGGCCACGAGGAGCACAAGAAGTGGGGCTACAGCAAGAAGAAGGGCTGAGAGAGGCAGCCTTTTGATGACCTTAGGATATTCGCTCAAATTGAGTGGTCGTTTATTTATTCGGTGTTCTTGCGTGGCACGATTAAAAGTGTGCGATGCGTAGAAAGTGCGAAATCGCGTCGCCTTTTCACCAAAAGTTCGCGTTGTTTGTGTACAGAACATTTCTAGTTAAACGTTCTCTGTGAGCTTGTACTTAAAGACTGTGATGTGCTTGTGATGTAGCGCAAGGGTGTCCTCCAGTGAGGGAAAGAGGTGGAACAATCTGATAAAGTTTTTCATCCTCGAAAAGTTCCGAGTTTTAAAAACGAAAATGGATTTTTTGTAGGTAGTTGTAATGAGCTACTCAGCAGGTGGGTAAATGTTATTTGACAAAAAGCTCCGAGAAAACTGTTTTGGTACTTGTTTCAAAATATCAAAGGTCATGATGTCATTTTACATTTTGAAGGAATCGAACAATCCGCCTCCTCTGATTGTAATATAGTCAGGAGGAAATATAATTTCTTTACTTGAAAGCTGATATCGTGGTTAATCTGAGAGAAATTTTAAGAAAATTCTCAACATTAATAGTAATTTAGTTTTTCCCGATTTTATCCAGTGAATTAGACACCAAGTATACATTCAACGGAAAATTTCAAAGAGTTTTAAAGTTGAGAATATTTGTGACGCATTAGCTGTATGTATGTCTTATCTGAACAATTTTCTATAAACGAGGCATAGACTTGGGAGTTCTTGCGGACAAAGATAAAATTACAAAATGAAGATAATGCAGCTATTAAACCACCTTAAGTAATGTATCATAGGCAAAAAGTTGTATGTTGCATCACGTGCCTGCGTCATCGTTAAATTGGGTAGGGTTTTAGTAAAAAGAATTAGAGTTTTGGTAGTGTTTGCCATACCCCTGATGAAGCACAATCTTCGTGCGGTTGATGATATTGAGACTCTGATTTCTCTCATTAAGTTTTCAATATGAGTTTTAAACTCTGGTTTTCTCACAGCGAAACAAATTTTATTTCTTATCGGAGAGCTAATATATGTAATCAGTTCATTGTGAAAAGATATCACAGCAGTGAGAAAGGTTTCCCTTCAGAGGATACATTAAAAATTTAAATATCACAATATCCAATCATCTCATTTGCATATACCAAAAACGTTACCATTACGTTACCAAAAATTGACAAGTGGAGTTTTGGATTATCTTTTTCCATATTGGTAATTTTCATTGCTATATTATTTTTTTGCGTCGAATTGAATCCTTTTCAGTCCTAGACAGTTTTTTTGTTACAAAAATTATTTGTGTAAATACTAATAGACTGTTCAATGAGTAGAAATTTAACATGAGTATTCATTTTTTACATTGATGTGTTTTGATCTTAGTTTTCTGAAACTGAATTTTAATAATTCTAAAATCCTCCAGAAATAAATAGTTTGCTTCACAGGATTGATTATTATCACTGCCATTTTTAGAGTCACCTTCTTAAAGGCATCGTCTTTAGTTTAAGAATCTTAATAAATCAATCATAGATTTTTCCTGAGTTCAATCATGTACTTACCTGTAGATTTGTATAGTGCTCGATAAGAAAACTTTGAACGCACCATATAAATAATTGCAAAATTTGTGACTTAACCTCGCAAAACTTTTTCGAGGCCTCAACATACTTCAGAAACCAATATGGCAAAATAAGATGGCAAATAAACTTAAATTTTGATAACTTTCATAATTTACAACAATATTGTTGGCTAAAAATAGATAATTTTGCTCGAACAATGTGATTTAGTCGAAATAGTCGGCTAAAATTACTAAATTTTAGTTTCGTTTAAGCAATCTTCTTCATGAAGTGTTAAAAACTCAAGGAGAATAGATGAGACACATTACACGGGGTGCATGTCTTAAGGCAACTTCCTTTTCTTTATGAAGTAATTTGTTAATCAAAAGTGATTCCTTGTCGTTAAAAGTCTGTCCTATACATCATACAGATATTTTAATGAAAATCCCGTGTAAACTCTGCAAAATTAGTGACACTAAATTACACCGTTTTGTAATTTCCAGTTTTCAAAAAGGAAACTTTTTTTACTATATATATGTTTTGTAAATAATATAACAAGTATGCCTATTTTTATTCTTTTCCCTGACTGACATATAAATATAGAAGTTTTCAGAATCTAGGACATTAATGAAGAGAGCACCGTGTGCGATGCTGTCCCCAGTTTCATTTTTTTTTTTTTTTTTTTAGAGAAATCAAAGTCGTGAATAAAGTTGACTGATAAGTTGAAGTTTTGATTTAATTTAAACCAAGTAATGCAAAAATCATATCACTCGACACTTTGCAACGAAGTTCTGAGGATGTAGTATACACGAACTGCGAGAAAAATTTCTAATTATAGAGGATGTGTCCTAGGTTGGTAAATTACGAGTAATTTGCAGAATTTGTAGGTTTCAATTTCTTTCAAATCAATTAAAAGATGTAGTTGGACATCAAGCACCTTGACGCAATTAATTGTTGAAATGTCACGTACATCGAGGACAAGATATTGGATTTTTATATCCTGCTCAGTCGTGATAAATTAACTTTTTTCTTAACATATCAATTTAAATTTTATTTGGTTTTTCAAACAAAATTCTCCTCAATTTGATAGATACAGCATGAGTCATATGATCAAACCGAGGCATCAAGTGGCCAGGGCCAGGAACTTTTTCCTCAAATACCAGCGGTTTGCAGAAATTTGATGGAATGATTATTAGATAAGATGGCTAACCAGAGTTCACTCATCCCACCAAATACCTACAGACCGCTGGTATTTTAAGAATGAGTATCTGACTTAGAATATTTGATTGCGTGACACTTGGTTACCAGTTCAATGCTAAATTGCTTTACGACAAGAAACAAGTTGATATCATAATTCTGTCAAACCGGCGCCGAGTTCATATATTAAAAATAGGAGCTGAAAATGGAGTCATCAGTCGTTGCCAAAACGTTGTGATCTTGTAAATTTGGGAATTGGTTTATTCCAATATGCACCAAACTCATTCGTGCGATTAAGACAGTGATGAACTGCATCCCAATATTCATCTAATGATGAAAACAGGGAGATTCTCACAAAGCTTAGGAAACAACTAAAAAACGGACCAATGTGTCCTTTTTTCAATTCCCGTTTTCAGATTTTGAACTGAGAGTGACGCACGGTAATTTTCCATGGCAGATCTGTAGATTCAACTTTTGAAAATCGATGTCTCTTTTGAATCCATAAGTCGAAGGAATCGACACAAGCAAGTACTCAATGCCATAAAAAATTATCACAAAGAAACTTTGATTGAAGCGGCCTGCGTCACAGCTGAAACAACGGCATTAATTTAATACATTTCATGAAATTCTCCTCATTAAAACTTCATTCAGAACATCTGGATTCCGCACTATTAAAAATGTGCAGAATCGAATTGGAGTATCACGCGAGCTTCAACCTTTTTCAGAGGTCCTAGTTCCAATTTTATTCAAGTAAGACTTTGGGTTTTAGACAAGTGGGGAGTTTCAATCAAACTTCATCCTGCAATAAAATGAAACATAACGACGGTGCAAGTCGGCAATCACATAACTCGTTTGCGGTGTCTGAAAATCTCCGCAACTATGTTATTTTTTTAAAGGAGAACAAATGGACATTATTCCTTGAAGTTTTTGCAGAATTTTCCTCCCACATAGAAGAAAAATCACGGAAGTTTTAAAGAATTACCGTTGAGTAGTTTTCCGTTTAAAAAATAAAGTATGACAGGAAGTCTGCGACGTCGCAAACCGAGTTATGTGATTGCCGACTTTCACCGTCGATAACTAAAATGGTTAAAAAATTGGTAGAATAGGCCAAAAACATCTATCCACTTAAAATGCAAAGTGTTTCAAGATGTCATAGAATCATTTTCAGCTGAAAACGAGTCTGTAGCGGTTCGGGACGTCCTGGCATTTTATTATTTTGACGTTTTTATCCTTTTTTGTCAATTTTTTACCTTTTATATTTTTTTTTAATCGTAATTTATATTTTCGGGCTATACTTCCGTGTACCTTAAATTGCGATTAGGAACTACTAATTCTGGGTCATCCACGAGAGCAGCCATTTTTTTATATTTTTTGTATCGTGGACTGCTATACCAAACTCAGTTTAGTAAAACCATACGTCTCATTAGCTTCCCTATGCTGATATGTGCTTTCATAGGTGAGCGAGGAATAGTAGTTCCTAATTCCAAATTGTAGTCCAAATGACGTCGATTATCTGACCCATTGGATCGTACAACTGGATTGCATTTTGCAATATGAAACTATAAATTTTGGCCCAGTTTAAAAACAACGTATGTGCCATTAGTTTCCTTCTGCACATAAGTATTTTTTCCGATGAGCCAGAATTTATAGTTCCTAATTGCAAAATGCAGTCCAACGGAACATCGGATCCATGTTCCTGTGGATTACATTTTGCGATAAGGAACTATAGCTCCGCATAGCATCCTAAATACTGCAATGCAGAGGTATACTATTTTTGGCTCACCCATATTACCTACCTGCGTCGGAAAATTAATGGCACGTACGTTACTCTCGAAATGCGCCAGGGAGCGTAGTTTTCGATTGAAAGTTGTAATCTATTAGTTCTGTAATTCAAAATAAAATAATAATAATAATAAAAAAAACGTAAATATTTCGTTTTGAGGCTCATTACCGAGCGTCTCGTTGCGTAAACCGTCTTTTACGCAGGTTAAATTTTAAGGACAAAAAGAGAGAATTTTTTCTCAGACCTTGTCATCCGCGTGGTTCTAAATGATTCCTCGTCAAGCACTGAAAAAAAAATCTCGGTTTATTTACTAAGAAAAGGGTAAAATTACTAAGAATTCAGGGTTTTATTTGATCCCAGTTTTTTCTTGGTAAAATTACCATTTATGGAATTGGGAATTGACTTTCTCGATAATTTTACTGGACCCCGTTAAAAACGCCAATATTTTTTATTGACTGTGGTAGAATTACCGAGAT